GTGTTACAGCTCACAACAACCTCAAACTCTTGAGCTTAAGCGATTCTCTTGCCTCAGCCTCCTGAGTAGCTGGGACTACAGGCGCCTGCCACAACACCTGGCTATTTTTTTGTTGCAATTGTCATTGTTGTTTAGCAGGCCCGGGCCAGGCTTGAACCTGCCAGCCTTGGCGTATGTGGCCAATACCGTACTCACTGAGCTATGGGCACTGAGCCCCTTATTTTCTTTAATTGTCTATGAAATTACAAGCTTTCTCTCAGTGTCTGAGAACATGCTCACAACTCCTTGTTCTAAATAATAATTGTAGAAGAGTAATTTTGTGGTCCTTTGATCATTCACTGACTTCCTCTCTTTCTGTGTACTGTGCAAATTCTGCCAGTGGCAGAAGAAGAGAATGGCTGGGGAGCCCTACCCCAGACTCCTTACTGTGGCTCCTGAGACCCCATGTACTGTGGCTGTTGCCTCAGCTCACATCAGCCTCTTCCTTGGTAGCTGTGTTTCGGGTACTTCTGTCTTGTAGTTCCTTCAGTGTGCCAACCTTATACTGCTTATGCTCTCAGATCTTTTTGTAGAATTCCTCTAATTACTTGGTTCTCAGCTCAGATGTACTTCCTCAGAGACGGGTTCCCTCATCAATTTCTGTCCTATTACCTATTTTATTTTCTTCATAGCATTTTTCACTATCAATTTTGTTACTTGTTTATTGTTTGTGTCTTCCACTCTAATTGCAGCTCCATGAGAGCAGATTGTTTCCCATTGGACCCTCAGCATCTGGAACAGTGCCTGGATCATAACAGATGCTCCCTGAGTATTAGAAGAATGAACACTTTGAGCTCTACACCATGACCTACCCTTCCCATAGGGCATGGCTGGGATGGGCTTATGTAGAATCTCTTTTCTGTTGCAAATCTACATGCATTTAAGTCTTAAGATTTTTCTGAGTATGTCATGCTGTAATGTTCCCACCAAGCTTCTTCCTTGGCCATGTGCTATAGGATAGAATGACAAGAATTACTTGAAAATATATGTCCATCAGGCTTAATTGGAGGGTAAATGATCACTTTGGATTAGACTTGATTTTATACTTTCTTAAGTGGTGGATTTTTGCCTTCTGGGCAAGAGCTATATCTTGATATTCTAGGCACAGTAAAGTACATCTTGAATTTGGAAGAATTTAGCCTTGTCTCTCCTATCTCTCCCTTTGCTATAGAAATATAGAAGTCTGGGTACAGATAAACTTGTGGCCTGAGTTTCTGACTTTCAGAACATAAGTGGGGCCTGCTTGATGGTGTAACACTGTGTTTTATAAAGGTCCTTCTGAAAGCTCCAGGACCCTCTATCGGTTAGAATTGTTTTCCTAGGAGACCCTTTTGAGAATCTAATGACAATCATAGACCCTTTCTTCAGAAAACTTTATAAGTATCTATACATATATATGGTTTTGTATATCATAGACCCTAAAATTCTTTTTGGGGATTTAGGTTGGTTTGTTCCTCCATCACAGCTGGGTCATAGCTCTTCCATGGCTACTTCTTTTTTTTTTTTTTTTTTTGAGACAGAGTGTCACTATGTCACCTTCGGTAGAGTGCTGTGGCATCACAGCTCACAGCAACTTCAAACTCTTGGGCTTAAGTAATTCTCTTACCTCAGCCTCTCAAGTAGCTGAGACTATAGGCGCCTGCCACAACACCTGGCTATTTTTTTGTTGTAATTGTCATTGTTTGGCAGGCCCGGGCTGGGTTTGAACCTGCCAGCCTTAGTGTATGTAGCTGGCGCCCTAGCCACTGAGCTACAGGTGCTGAGCCCCATGGCTACTTCTTTCTGACTTCGTCTCCTGTCTTCTATGCCCTCTCTTGTTTTTATAATACCCTGCTGGACCCTCACAGGCCCAGAAGAGGCGCTATTCTCCAGGAGTTCAGGTATTCAGTTCTTGACCCACCATGGCCACCCCTTATTTCCATATGTCCATCCAACATTTGTTGTTATTTCTAGTCCATGTGGCTATTGTCTCAAGAGTCCCGAGTCTCTGGTCTTGACTGCATCTCTACCTTGCATGTTGACCACCTAGGATGGGGGAAACTCACTAAAGGAGTAGCATGCCTCATGTTACCTTTCCTTTCATTACCCTGCCTCTCTGCACTGTGTTGGCATTGGGCTCATTCTGGAATGGTTAGTTCATCATTTGTAAGGAAGAATTTGCTCCTATAACTATTGAAGGAAGGGAGCCTCTGAAGTAGATGGGAAAATAAGTGGGTTATGGGGAAACTTTCAGTTTTCTCTCTGTTGGGCTAGAACCTTGCCCTCATATTAATGTTATTGGGAGAAGTTACGTATGGAGGAGGTTTAAGTGGGCTGGAAAGTCTTGATTAAGAACAGTCATTTTGGCTAGATAAGCCCATCCAGCAGCCCTGTTCTAACAGTTTTCTTTTTGAATCCTAATCCATGTAGCATCATATACTTACATATCTTAGTATTTTAGAATTTGAAAGGAACCATCCTGAATGGAAAGGTTCCCCTGCTCAGTCAAACAGGTGTTTTCAAAATACCTGCTGTGTACAAAACACTCACCCTGGAAGATAAGAGATGGGGCTGGAGTGTAGATGTACAAAGATGTATAATAAATGCTTTTTTTCTTCAAGAAGCTTAAGTAGCAGTTGGGGAAATAGGTATATATACATAAAAAGGAAACCTCTAGTATTGGGCACTAAATGACAAAAGGTGATCTCTGAGAGGATTCAAGTCAGACTCCAGAGTCTTACAGGGGACCTCTGCAGGTCTATCTCAGATTGGGAGCAAGGAGAATTACTGGAGGCAGGTATGGAGTTCAGTCACTTCCTGGACCCACATCCCTTGAATGGCCATCTGAATGTGGATTCTAAGGGCCTGCCAGTGATGAGGCATAGTGGTAGCTGATCTGTTATAAGGGGCTCAGCTTGTGTATGCAAAATTCCTGTTTGCATATGCATTCCTAAGAGCTGTTCCTTATTGTCTCTGCTTTTCCCTCCCTGCTTCTCAGCGGGTATTCCCTTACATCTCAGCCATGGTGAACAACGGCTCCCTCAGCTATGATCATGAGAGAGATGGGCGGCCTACAGAGCTGGGGGGCTGTACAGCCATTGTCCGCAATCTCCATTATGACACCTTCCTTGTGATTCGCTATGTCAAGAGGCATTTGACGGTGAGTCCTGTCTTGGACCAAATGATATTATGGGCTGTCCTACTCTTGCTCCCATGGCCTGATGCTGATCTGCCTCTTCTTTTTATTCTAGATAATGATGGACATCGATGGCAAGCATGAGTGGAGGGACTGCATTGAGGTGCCCGGGGTCCGTCTGCCCCGTGGCTACTACTTCGGCACCTCCTCCATCACTGGGGATCTGTCAGGTACTGCCGTGTGCACACTTTGTTTGCCTTGACCGATTCCACCTCTCAATATCTAGGCTTTAGCAAGGTCTCAGAAGGGAGAGCCAGGGGAGCAGAGCTCTGGGAAGCAGGTGCCCTGAGAGTGCTTCTTTTCCTACATTCTTATATCTGAAATCCAGGCCCAGGCTTTCCTAGCATAATTGTCTCTAGGACAATATTTTTCTTTTTTTTTGAGATGGAGCCTCAAGCTATCCCCCTGGGTAGAGTGCCATGGCATCACAGCTCACAGCAACCTCCAACTCCTGGGCTCAAGCAAGTCTCCTGCCTCAGCCTCCCAAGTAGCTGGGACTACAGGCGCCCGCCACAGCACCGGCCATTTTTTGGTTGCAGCCATCATTGTTGTTTGGCGGGCCCGGGCTGGGGATTCGAACCCGCCACCTTAGGTGTATGTGACTGGCGCCTTAGCCGATTGAGCCATAGGCGCCGAGCCAGGACAATATTTTTCAACATCATTTAATCCCGTGGCACATTCGAATCTATAGTTAAACTTCTGTGGCACACTTAAATTATGTTGATCAAAAAGAAAGAGTAAAAAAAAAAAAAGAATATGCTTACTGTGCTATAATTAATGATCTTTAAAAATTTGTGCAACACACCTAAGATCCCGTGGCACACTGGTTGAAAATCACTGCTCAAGGAGCTAACAGAAAACAGTGTTTGCCCCCTCATCAAGTCAGCTCTTCTAGCCTTTGTTGTGAGTTCCTTGCTTTCCTATTTCTGGAGCCCCTTTCTGTTGTTAGGTCTCCTCTCCTGTCTGCTAATGTGTCCAGTTCCCCATCTCTTAGCCAAGCTTTTCCTTGACTCTGCTGCTCTCTTCTGACTCCCAGACTTTTTTTGTTTTGTTTTGAGACAGAGCCTTAAGCTGTTGCCCTGGGTAGAGTGCCATGACATCACAGCTCACAGCAACCTCCAACTCCTGGGCTTAAGTGATTCTCTTGCCTCAACCTCCTAAGTAGCTGAGACTACAGGCGCCTGCCACAATGTCCAGCTATGTTCTGGTTCTAGTTGTCATTGTTGTTTGGCAGTCCCAGGTTGGATTCAAACCCACCAGCTCAGGTGTATGTGGCTGGCGCCTTAGCTACTTGAGCTACAGGCGCCGAGCCTTTTTTTCCATTTTTTGAGACAGAGTCTCAAGTTGTGTCACCCTGGGAGTGCCATGGTGTCATCATATCTCATAGTAACCTCCAACTCTTGGGCTCAAGCAATCCTCTTGCCTCAGTTTTTCTATTATTAGGAGAGATGGAGTCTAGCTCTTGCCCAGGCTGGTCCTACTCATGAGCTCAAGCAATCCACCAACCTCAGCATCTCAGAGTGTTAGGATTACAGGTGTGAGCCACTGTGCTTAGCACTCCCAAACTTTCTTTTTGCTCACAGTTTTGAATGTTGTATGTACAGATGCTTTTGTTTCCTAGCCATCCACCTCCTAAGCATGCTGCACTTAGCCCTGTATCTCTACCTTTCTGTTATCACTGTTCTCATGAAAGATACTTCTGGCTCAGTGCCTGTGGCTCAAGTGGCTAAGGCGCCAGCCACATACACCTAAGGTGGAGGGTTCAAATCCAGCCCAGGCCCGCCAAACAACAATGATGGCTGCAACCAAAAAAT